CGGAAATTGCCATGTTGTGACCGTGCAACATGCACGGTCTACAGTCTACCACATTACTGTGTATATCTGAGACTTCGCAAGCAATTAAAAATAAAAAACTCTCACTTCCGCGCTCGTGAGAGGTGGACGTGAGAGGCTCCATGCAAGGCGGCGTGATCACGCGTGTGAGCTGTGTCCCGTGTGACTGTGAGGCGCTGACGACTACTACGAGATCTACGACGTCGGTGTCCGACGTGCGAGCGACGGGGTGTCGGAACTCGGATGGGTGAGCCGCACCACGCGCGCACGTGGACTGGAGGCGGCACGAGCCGGCAGCCGCCGCCCAGGGCCGCCGCTCCGGCCCCCGCCGCCGGCGCTCTCCGCCCGCGGTGGAAACTCTCGCGGGAAATCGCGGGTGGGAGAGAACGAGGCCAACAAATTGGCGTGTAAGAGAGAGAAGTTGGTGTAGATTGGGAGTGGGAGTCAGCGGAGAGAGAGAGGGAGGGAGGGAGGGAGAGAGAGAGAGAGAGAGAGAGAGAGAGAGAGAGAGAGAGAGAGAGCGAGCGAGCGAGCGAGCGAGAGAGAGAGAGAGAGAGAGGGAGAGAGAGATGGGACCTACTGAGCGCATGTGGCGTCGATGGATGGGGCGCCCCTGCGCTAGAGTTCCTCCTTCGGCTCGCCCTTCTTCTTCTTTTTCCTCTTCTTCTTCTTTTGAGGGCTCGTCTGCGGGAGAGCGAGGGACGGCTCAGGGACGGCTCGGCGGCTACAGGACAGCTGCACGGAGCACTGGCGACGCGATGCATCTCGGGTGGTGGCGCCCGTCCTCCCGGTGGCCGGGCGGCGGTCCGGCCAGGGCGCGGTGAGCGGTGCGCGCCGGCGGCTTGGACGGCGGCTCGTCTTTCTCGTCCTCGTACTTGTCCTTGCACGACTCGGGGCAGGTGGTGGCCATGAAGGCGCGGTTGGAAAGGCACTCGCCCTTGGCGGCCCAGTTGTGGCAGTGAAAGTTCTTGTCGATCGGCGCGTCCGGGTACGCCTTTCGCCGGTGCTCGAACCTGGCGGCAGCAGGGTCAGAGTGTCGGCCGGGCAAGTGGTGGCGGGCACTGGAGGCGCGCGCGCGCCACTCCCAGCACGAGTACTTGCACGAGTCATGCATGTACCCCGGGTTGGACTTGCACTGCCCGTCGGCCGCCCACCTGCGCAACGCAGAGGCGGCGGCTGCTCGGTCGCTGGGCGCAGCTCTCGTGGCAGGGCGGCGGGCGATGCACACTCGTAGCACTGGCTGCCGCCCTTGTCGCCGTCCTCCTTGAATGGGTTCTCCTCCTCTGCCGCCGCAGCGCCGACGGACAGGCCGAGGAGGAGAAGCGCGAGGCTCCGCGTCGCGGCAAACATCGAGCGGGGTGGGGCTCGCTAAAAGGTCGGCGTGAAAGTGCCACCGAACTTCTGCTACGGTACACCAGAAGGCCGTGTTAGCTCTGAAAAAAGAATTTCCACGCCGCTTATTTCGACGAAGAGGCAGACTCCCCAGGGTGGGCGACGGCTAGCGCATCACACTCCTCTCCTTAAAATCCCTGTGTGGTGGCGGCGTGCCGTTCTCCCATCCCTCCCTTGGGTTGTCTGTTTTCTTTCTTTCTTTCTTTCTGGACCCTGTGGTCCTCCTCCCCCATCCCTCGTTTGGGTTTGTCCATTTTCTTTATTCTCCGTTCTTTCTTTTTTCAAAGCACCGTTTCCACCAACAAAAGAAGGAGGAAACAAACCGTGAACCAAACCACACGAGGAGCGCAGAGTTGTCACACCCTCAGCGCCGCCGCCCCCACACGCGAGCCCTCACACCAGCCTCACCGCGGCCTCGGGTTGGCTGCGCAGGCGGCGGGCCGCCACAGCCGCGCAGGCAACCGCCGCGAGGAGGGCGAGGGTGCGCGAGTCGGCCGGCGGTGCCAGCAGGAGCAGCTCCGACCAGAGCGAGGAGGGCGCGCATCCCAAGTCCGGGCTCGTGGCGTGCGACGGGGGGCAGCCGGGGCGGCAGACGTGCACGGCGGCAAAGCACGAGACGCCAAAGCCCGCGGACTCCGCCCCGCACACCTCCCTCCAGCCCGGCGTCTCGTCGCAGGCGAGCAGCCCGGCGCAGCAGCCCTTTGCCGGCGGTGCAGAACCGCGGGCCGGCGCGGCGACCGGCCCCCCCTCGCCGACGCAGCCCGCCGGGGTCCACAGCGCGGCCTTGAGCTGCATCGCCGCGCGCGCCTCCCCCTGCTCCATCACCTCCTCCCACCGAGACCAGTTGAAGGCGGGCAAGTTGCGCGCCCGGCGCGCCGCGGCGACCGCGGCGGCCGCGAGGCGCCGCTCGCCCGCGCGCGCCACAATCTGCTCGGCGTGGCGGTGCGCCGACTCGGGGTAGATCTCCGGGCAAGTCTCGCTGCCGAGCGGCGAGGCGTCGGGGCCGTACCGCCACTCGTTCGAGCGGATGTACTTTGCCGTCGGGTAGTCGGGCGGGTCGCAGCCGACGTTCACCTCCGACTGCCACACGCGCACCCAATCGACGTGGAACGCGGTCCCGATCGGCCCGCCGTCGGCGGGCGCGTCGATTGCGCCGTAGCCCCCGTTCCACGTCCCGATGGCGGAGTTGACGATGAGCGCCTAACACACGAGGGGCCAGACGGTGTGATGCCCGCCGCTCCAAAGGCGCCGGCGGCGGTGCTCGAGGAGCGCCATCGGCTCGCGAGGGAAGGCGCGCGCGGGCGTGCGCTCGCGCCGGCTCGCCGCCTCCCTGCCCGCCTCCCCCCCCGCCTCGCCAGGCCGCTGCGCCGAGGTGTCGACCGCATACGCGCCGAGGGCAGACTCGTCGAGGCTCCAGACGAGCCGCCCGTCGAGCAGCCACCGAAGCGAGCCGCCCTCGCCGCCGCCGCCGAGGAGCTCGACGCGGTAGGTGCGGTAGCGCTCGTCGAAGACGTCGTCGACGACCGAGGCCGAGATCGTGTCGGGGCAGCCCGTCGGGCAAGAGGCGCCCCAAGGCGGCCCGTACCACCCCTTGCCAGCGATGCCGTCGCCGTACTTGAGGCCAGAGTACCAGCTGCCGGGGCCGCGCTGCGCCGGGAGGGAGCCGATGGCGGGCTTGAAGTAGGCCGGCACCGCGGGCGAGATCTGGAGCGAGAAGACGGCGTAAGACGTTGCGGACGGCGACCGGACGGCCACCTCGGCCGCGTCGATCTCGGTCGCGCCTCGCCCCTGGAACGGGTGCAGCCCGTCGACATCGAGGTCGTGGTCGTCGCACGCGCTGATTCGCTGCGGCGGCGAGTCTGGCGCCAGGGCGAGGTCGGCGTCGCACTCGTCGTACGACCACGGCCAGAGGCCCGTGTTGGAGCTCTGGTACACGGCGCGGCCGAGGTTGCCAAACAGCCAGAGCGCCGGCCAGTAGCCGCTTCCGTGCGGCATGCGCGCGCGGAACTCGACGACGCCGCCGGTGAAGCAAAACTTGTTCCACGACTGGAGCATCGCCGAGCGGAACGGCATCGTGATCTGACGCGTGCCGCTCGGATCCGGGCCGGTCGTGCGCTCGTACACGGTGGCGATGCGCAGCGCCGACACGCCGGGCTCCTCTGGGTCGAGCGCCACGGTCGCCTGCTCCGGCAGGTACACCGTCTTGCCCTCGTTGGCGGTGTCGGCGACGTGGAGCGCTGTCCACTTGGGATCCTCGCCGTTTGCAAACGAGCGGCTCGGATCGTTGAACTCGTCCGAGAAGACGAGCCGGTGGAGCGCCAGCCCCGGCCCCGCCGCCGTCGTCCACGCGGACGGCGGCGTGGCGAGGTCGCACCAGCAGCAGGAGGCGAGCGCGGTGGCGTTCATGGTTTGTCGGCGCGCAGGCAGCAACGTGCAGGAGGGCTACCCCAGGTACCAATGTTTCGGCAAAGGAGGCGCCCCGGGCCTGCTTTGTTTTTTCTTCTTTCACATCTGTAAGGTGCCTATATGGGCTTCCAGTATCGGACCTTCAAGATATGCGCTTTTGGCCGGTGGCCTCTTCGGACATGGTACCTCCGGTGAGATAGTGGCTGCCAGTTCGAGACTGGGGCCGATCGAACTTGAGTTGTTCGGAGGAGGAATCCGGCCAGCACGGGTACAAAGAGGGGTACCCGGAGAATCCCCAGCTGCGGAAACGTAGTGTCGCTCAAGAGGTGCGATACTGCGGGGGAGTGTAAGGTGCCTATATGGGCTTCCAGTATCGGACCTTCAAGATATGCGCTTTTGGCCGGTGGCCTCTTCGGACAACATCGCCCCTTTAGCACCCTGTCCCACACCGTTGAGCGGCTCGGGCTCCCCCTCCCCTCCCCGCTGCCCGGCGCGGCGTGAGAGGCAGCACTCTTAGCGAGAGCACCCGTGGAGCACATGTTCTCTGTGCGAGAACCGAGCCGCGACCTATCTCATTTTGAGATTTGAGTCGGCGGCGGCGGGGGAGGCTGCCGGTCCCCGCCGGATTCCTTCCGGGGCGGGGCCGGAAGTTGGGCCGGAGGGGCCGAGGGGGGGGCGGGGGGGGGGGGGTTGCAGGCCATGTGCTCGGCGCCGGTCCGCAAATTCCTGGTTCCCGGGCGTCAAGGTGTCCGCAAATTCCTGGTGGCCGGGGGGGGGGGGGGGGCTCTCGAGAGAACACCTTGGGAAGGGCGCGCGGCGTCTCCCGGGAGCCGTCAGCCGACGGCGCACCGGTGCGTTTTGTGGCAAATGTAAATGCGCGCGGAGCAAGAAAGTGTGGAGAACGCAGCGGTGGAGCCGGGAGAAGCTGGCGGAGATGAGGCACGGCAGCGGAGAAAGCGACACCAACAACGAGGGAAACGACCATACCGGTCGTCGCATAACGCTCGGGAGACGAGCAAGAGAGCGAATCAAGGAGGGTTGAGACCCTGGGAAGGCGAGGGGTGAGCCCTCAGGCGGGGGGGTCTACTCGAACGCCGACGCAAGTGAGTGTAGAGTGGTGGTGTGGGGCGTGCAGTGTGGTGTTCATTAGCTCCGAGTAGAGGGGGCGTCCTGCAGTTAAGGGGAAACCCGGTACGCGGGGCTAGCCCTCGGAGACCCGTGTTTACTTTACGGCCCTTTCCCCGCGAACGCGCACCCCCGGGGCTAGGGCTCTCTTGCCCGCAACCCGATCCCGATCATCCGGCCCGCTGGGTGCGCTTCTCAGCTCCCCGGCCCTGGATGTGAGGTAGCCGACTGCACTCCAAGTGCTCCAACGCGAGGTTATGTAGAATGTATAGAAATGGCTTAATGGTGGTGCCCTCTTTCGTTTTGGTTTTCCACACGCGGCGCCCCAAACTGACAGGTGACACAGTTGAGTACGTTAGCGGTTAGAGCTTAGAGAAGCGACGCAAGAGCGATGTCTCGGATGCCGCCGTGGAAGCACGGCCTGGCCCACAGCCGCGTCGAGCAGCTTTGCGTCGGCGAGCGAGAGGAGAGGAGATGTGTGGAGAAGCTTCTCGCCGCAGGCATTCGCCGCTCGCCGCAGGCATTCGAGAAGGCGCGGCATTCGCCGCTGTTGCCCATGTCCCGCGCGAGCCCGCCCGCGCCCCCACATCTCTGGCGCCCGGCCGCCTCCTTGTGCCTCAGCGCCGCCGACTCGGTCACGCTCTCCTCGGTGCAGGACACGCTCAAAATGGCGCTCGAGGACAAGGTTCAGGCGGTCGAGGACGAGAAGCAGTCGCTCAAAGCGGAGAAGCCGGACGACTCCAACAAGCTCGGCACTTCGCGCGAGGTCAGGGTCTCCCTCGCCGCCGCCCCCCACCCACCCCTCCCACTCCGTCGCCGCCGCCGCCGCCGCGTCCGCCCACCCTCCCAGGTCGCCGTCGCGACCACGTCCGCCTCCCATGTCCGCAGCCGGGGGCCACTACCCCCCCCCCCCCACCACCACCACCACACGCAGGACGGCTCAATGCCGGCGACCCGCAAGCTAGCCTACTCGCCCAAGCCAAAGCCCGCCGCGGACGCCGCCGCCGGGGAGCACCAGCCCAGCCCCAACTCCTTTGCGCTCCTCACCACGGCCGACGAGGAGAAGACCGAGGAGAAGGGCGCGCCGCAGGCCGACATGAAGACTATGGTAAGGAGCCCCCGTCCCTCCCTCGCCCCGCCCCTCCTCCCTCAACACCGTCGAGAGCTTCAGCCTTGTGCCTTTTGTGGCTGCACCTCGCACCTCTCCCTCCCCCTCCGCCCACCCGCCCCGAGCGACGCCGCCCGCCGCCGCCCGCCCCGCGCCCCCTCCCTCCGACCCCGCCACCGCCGCCGCCGCTCACACCCGCGCGCCCCAGGCGCAGCTCGGCGAGGCCAAGAACGAGAAGAACAAGGCGCCGACCCAGGCGGATAAGGACCGCGCCGCGGGCGTCGCCAAGGAGATTCGGCCCCATCCGCCCCG